GCCACACATCATCGTTGATCATCGTCAATTTACAATTATTCTTTTTTTCATTACGCATTTTTGGGCTTTTTTTTATGGATTTTGAACAAAAAATTCGGCGAATTTAATTCAATTTAAAGCATGTATGATGTTATACATAAATATCATGTATTGTAGAGGAAAGTGAAATATATGTGAAGTAGGAACGAATGTGGTTTAGGAGCTTGTTTTGCTGGAAGTTGAGTTGTCGTTTTGTGAGCTAATGACTTTAATTTTGAAGTTTAAATACAAAACCGCTAAAAATTCAAATTTTACAAAACCTTTAACAATTCAAATTCTACAAAACCGTTAAATATTCAAATTTAACAAATCCACAACAAAAATTAAAATTTTACAAAACCTTTAACAATTCAAATTCTACAAAACCGTTAAATATTCAAATTTAACAAATCCACTACAAAAATTAAACTTTTACAAAACCTTTAACAATTCAAATTCAACAAAACCGTTTCATATTCAAATTTAACAAATCCACAACAAAAATTAAAATTTTACAAAACCTTTAACAATTCAAATTCTACAAAACCGTTAAATATTCAAATTTAACAAATCCACAACAAAAATTAAAATTTGACAAAACCTTTAACAATTGAAATTCTACAAAACCGTTAAATATTCAAATTCAACAAATCCACAAAAAAAATTAAAATTTTACAAAACCTTTAACAATTCAAATTCTACAAAACCGTTAAATATTCAAATTTAACAAATCCACAACAAAAATTAAAATTTTACAAAACCTTTAACAATTCAAATTCTACAAAACCGTTAAGTATTCAAATTTAACAAATCCACAACAAAAATTAAAATTTTACAAAACCTTTAACAATTCAAATTCTACAAAACCGTTAAATATTCAAATTTAACAAATCCACAACAAAAATTAAAATTTGACAAAACCTTTAACAATTGAAATTCTACAAAACCGTTAAATATTCAAATTTAACAAATCCACAACAAAAATTAAAATTTTACAAAACCTTTAACAATTCAAATTCTACAAAACCGTTAAATATTCAAATTTAACAAATCCACAACAAAAATTAAAATTTTACAAAACCTTTAACAATTCAAATTCTACAAAACCGTTAAATATTCAAATCCGTTAAAATTTAAATTCTACAAAACCGTTCAAAAACTGGCAAGCTTCAATAATTTGACAATTGAAACACGAACTTACTTGCCAACTATCAGACAGTAAATTTCCAACAACATTCAACTCAATCAAATTAATTTAACATAAATTGATTTATTGAGGTTTTGTATGAATTGAAAAGCTCCTATGTATGAAAGAAATTTCTTATTAATTCTCATTTCATTGTTTGTGTTATGAAAATTATGAAATAAACAGCACAAGTATGGCTAGAGATTGATATTTGAAGATAAATCATACAAACTCATGTTTGTTGGCAGCTAACAAATGTGTTTATTCTCTCCATTTCTTCATGCTCATTCGTCTAGTAGGCATTAAAAAATTAATAACATCTTATGGACATGTGGAGGTGGTCACACGCTAGTAAGAAGCATTATTTAATAATCTTCATCATTAAGGATTAATTGAATATATTTAATTTTTCCAATTATCAAATTACATCTCAACATAGTCAACTAGGCTGGTTCCTATCTCTTTCTGACCATATGGAATGAATGGAGAAAAAATTAAAATATGCTGAAAAAATAAAGTTTTTTTTAATGGCACAAAAAAAATATTAAGATTCTTCTTTTAAAGCGTGCGGAGAATTATATTTGGAGCATCTGAAAAAGGATAAAAAATGCCACAATATCAAATATCAACTTCATAAATTATAAAACGATTGGAATTTTTTTTTGTTGCTTTATTGCTTATTGCGAAACTTAAAGAAGTAAAAAAATTGCACAAATTAATAATTTTTCATGATTTCTCTCTAAAAGAAGGAAAAGGGAGAACTAAAGAGTGAATTTTAAATGATCATCAGAAATTTAATCAATTCAGTCTCTATAAATCAAAAAAAAATCATTTAAGTCTATCTAAGGAACTTGACAATCATTTTGTTATGTAAAGGTTTTTTTCCCTTCCTTCCTTCATTTATTTATTTTTTTATTTAATAACAAGAGAGATATAAGGCAAGTAGACGTCTGACTCAGTTACTTTCATCTGTCATTTTCGCTTATTATGTAAATTCTCTGTTTAAAAAATTAATTGAAGTTTGTAAGACTAGACATTGAGTAGTTTTCGATTGCCTGGATAATTAACGGACTTCTAGAATTTAAATTGTTCAAATTTTACTTAAAATTCATTCAGTAATTCAACGTTCATTTCAGTTCAGTTCAATTTAGCTCAATTTATTATAATTCATTTCAATTCATTTTAATTTTGCTCATTTTCAGTTCAATTCAGCTCAATTCAACTCAGTTCAATTTATTGTAATTCATTTCAATTCATTTCAATTCATTTCAATTCATTTCAATTCATTTCAATTCATTTCAATTCATTTCAATTCATTTCAATTCATTTCAATTCATTTCAATTCATTTCAATTCATTTCAATTCATTTCAATTCATTTCAATTCATTTCAATTCATTTCAATTCATTTCAATTCATTTCAATTCATTTCAATTCATTTCAATTCATTTCAATTCATTTCAATTCATTTCAATTCATTTCAATTCATTTCAATTCATTTCAATTCATTTCAATTCATTTCAATTCATTTCAATTCATTTCAATTCATTTGAATTTTTGAAAGACGTTAATTTTCGAATCTCAAAAATCCGTTAAGTAATTTTACATGCGCCTTTAACCAACACACTTCTAGTTCCTCTTGCATTCTCAATTTCATCTTAATGAAATGAACATGTTTGCAAAATTAACTTAATTGTCATAGAAGCCAAATGAAGGAATTTGTATCATAAGTACAACAAAATTAATTTAAAATGAAGCAAGTTGCAAAATATCATGCTGACTTTTCCTCATCACTGGAAATTAATTTAAATCTTTATTTTCATTCTGTTTTTCTCTCTTATTGAATCGATTTCATTATCAACGCAGCTCATCCTGCTTATTGACTGGATCTTGTATTTTTTTAAAGGCAAAGTTCAGTTTTGGAACTTTAAACATGTCCCTAACATGAATTGTGTCTACATTATGTTTATGTTAAAATTAAATTTCCATTCTACACTTTTTTATAAAGCAAGTCAAAGGAAGGACTTTATTTGAATGTTAAACACATAAATTTTTTGCATTTCATTAAAAAAGCATTTAATTTTCCTACACTTTTCCTTTCATTAACATTTTTCGGGTAGGTATGCGATGATGGTATGAAGGAGAGAAGCTATCGATTGTTGTCATGGATTAAAATAAAAGCCATAAAATGTAATAAATGTCTTAATTAAATGTTACAAAAAAGTATACATACAATAATGAAAGTGAAAAAATGGTGAAAATTGTTTAAAAAGAGTCGATTTTTATTTTTTCGTGGGTTGGGACGTGGATGGGTGAGAAGACACACAGTTTATTCGTGCACTATTGAGAAGAAAATGGAATTTTTTTTTTCGTTTACTTTGACTTTCTGAGTGGGTAGACAAGAAATAAGTTTGTTTAAAATTTCAATTTTTTTTTTTTTCATTTTTAAGTACACTCCTTCTTTGCTTGATGTTTGACATCATAAATTAAACTTGGAAATTTATTGAAAATTGATTTTTGAGCTCCTTGTTATTTTTTTTTCAATTTTTTAAAATCTAACGGCATTTTAAAATTCAAAAATTGAGCAAAATTTGTTCAGTAATGTAATTGATGAAAAGTTCAACTCAGTTCGGTTCATAAGTTTTGAATTTGTTGAAGTCGTTAAAATTGAAATCTCACATGTTATTTTTATTTAAATATCAAAAAGCCGTTAAATTTGTCTAAGCTCATAAAACCGTTAAAACTTTTAATTAACAATTGAAAAATGCGTTCAAGTCACAAACACTTTCCTAATACACCAATAACCTCCTTCTACCGCCATCAACATAATTTTTTATTCACGAAAAATTCATAATTAAATGTATGGAATATGCTAATAATGAAAATTAAATTTTATGAAGGCACGAGCAATGAAGGCAAAAAAAATGTTAATTAACTTTAACCTTAAAACTGGGATTAAAGAAGCAAATTTCATTTGAATTATCTTATTAAATAGCTAATGTTAATGTGTTAACGGCAGATTTAATCTTGCATTAACTGATGGCAACAAATATGTTAGATCCACACACATTATTCATACCCAAAAAAAAAACTGTCGCAACACTTTGCTCTTCGTTCCTTCTTTTATCCAGCATAATTGATTGCTTTATTTTATTGTTCTTCATAATAATTCGAAATAGTTCCTTTTATCTAGTTCTTTCAAAAGAAGACAATAAATAAAATTGATGCGTCCTTTTGTGTGAGAATTTTTTTATAACTTTTATGCCTGCCTGCCTTCTTATGTTTAGCGCTTAATCGAGTGAAAGGGGTTCCTTCTTTGAACAAAATCATTAATGCAGGTGATATAATCAATTCTCATATTTTTTCATCATATGACATGCTCTGGACACAAAAAAGGATTGTTTATGTATCATGCCTTTATCATAAAACAGAGAGTCATTTCTCAATTTTTTATTCCGGCATCTTTCTTTCTTTTTTTATCATATTTATGCTTGTTATAGATATATATACAAAGTTTTTAATATATTTTGACGTGAGTTCTTTTATGGTTGAAGTAGAAATTCCAATTATGTGTAATAATGCATCATGCCAACCACTCATTGTACCTTTTTAGGGGGTTTCTTCCTTCCATTTTCAGTATGTGCACTTTATGAATGTTAACTTGCAGCACAAGAAAATAATTAATAACAAACAATCAAGTTATGGATGTTGGATGTGCTGTATTCTGCACTTTGGATGTTAAATCTCTTTAAAAATTTATAAAGCAATGAAAGACAATATTTTTGGTGTTGGATTAATTTATTAGAGACTCTTTGGCTTAATATCAATCAATTGTTGTTTTATAGCTTCTAGATTGCATTAATTAAATTCTTTAACAAGAACTCATGAAACCGTTAAATATTCAAATTCTACAAAACCGTTAATAAGTTTTGAATTCTACAAAACCGTTAATAAGTTTGAATTCTACAAAACTGTTAATAAGTTTGAATTCTACAAAACCGTTAAAAATTAAGATTCAATTAAAACGTTAAAATGATCATTAAGATCACATCCAAATGACTTTGCTACTCATTTATTTTATTAATTTGTTAGCGTTTCTTTCTTCACCATGCGTTTTCGCTTAATTCTAATGATAATTAGTCGAAGACAAAATGACACATGTTTATGAAGCATCAGAAAAATTGATGACTTTTAATAACTTGTTTATCATGGTCATATTGTTCATAGAGAAGAAATGATAACCAGGAATATGGTCAATACAATGATCTTGTATTTCTCGAATCATTGTTTTTGTACTATTAATGCTTAGTTCTTGAAACTTTTCTTGATCTTTTGAGACTTCTTTGAATTGTCGTGCTAATTCTGTCGGAACTGATACTTGAGTAGTTCTAATAATTGCTTTTAATTCCTCATATGTATAAGCTACATAAATGCCAGGAATTATTGGAACATTAATTCCCTCCTTCCTGCAATTCTTGACAAATTCACAAAATATTTTTGAGCAAAAGACTGACTGCGTCAACAGGACATCCACACCTTCTTCAACCTTTCTCTTTAAATTCTTCATATCTGCTTTATAATCCGTCATTTCGGGATGAACATTTGGATAGCAAGCACCCATAATTGTTACTTTATCCTGAATGTGCTGTGTTCTACGACGAAGTTCCTTAACTAAATCACCAGCATATTTGAACTTTTGTGATCCACTGATGTTATCTGTTAATGATGTATCAAGGAAGAACAAATGAATGTGCTATATTAGATTTAATTAAATCATGCGATTAAAAATTGGATTTAAATAAACCCAAAAGATGAGGGACACAGAGAAAAGCAGCTTACCTCCACGAATCACAACAAAATTCTTAACTGGATCATCGTCACTCAATAGCTCATCTACATGCTTATCTTCCAGACGAAAGCAAGTAATTGTGTTAATTACATTGAAGTTTTTCTCGAGTTCCTTTTTTAAAATAAATGCTGGCGATGAAAGGATGCTTTCATGCTTTAAATTGTAATCAGAGATCCAAGTTATGTCGATAAATAAAGGATTAACATGAAGTTGAGATGTATCAAGGACGAAATTCTTTTTTGCAGTTACTTCAAATGAATAGAATATTTTCTTAGTTTCCTTTGTGAACCTCTCATAGATCAATTGCTTAATAGGAACTTTCGATATCATCTTCTGCATAACGACTATGAATAATTCAAGAGAAGCGCCATCTATATTGTTACTTTTATGGACAATTAAATTGATAGGAAATCTATTGTTTCATACTTAAATTAAAGGTAATCTCTGATGATCACTAAATGCACAGACAACTGATTAAAAGTATCACTAATGCAGTAAATTCGAAAGTCTTGTAATTTCTTTATTAATAATATAAAGTAAAGCGTATCAAAAAATAGACAAAGAGATGTAAACAAGATGTTCTATACTAAACAAGAAATAATAAAATTAAAGCAGTAACTGACTAAGCGAGACGACACATCTCTCAGCATTAACGTCTAAAAATAATTAATTAATAATAATAAAAAGTTCATTAACTTATTGCAAATGTTTCGACAAGAAATTGTCAAAATCCACCGAGTTAATCTCGTACCTAATTTTCTTTTGTGGCGGTTCCTCTTCATAATTGCCATCATTTTCTACAGCTTCTTCCTTAATTCCATGATTTTCAGCTACATTCTCGTTCTTGAAAATTTTATGCTTACGAATACGATGATTGTTCAAATATTTGCGGCACTTGAACGTGGCAGAGCATAAATCACATGATAAGATTTCCTCAGAATGTGTCAGCTTGTGTGTCATCATATTTGACTTTTTCTTAAACAATTTTGCACATATATCACATTTGTATGGCTTGCATGGTGTTGTATGTAAATGGCGCGTAAATGTTCCTGTTCCTCGTTTGAAAACTTGCATACAATCAAAGCATGCGATTTCTGGAAGTTCCATTTACTGGATGTTAGTCATTTCTTTAATATTTAAGTTTTTTTCCGTCACTTACCCATTGAATTATCAGCAATATCATCTCTATTAACAGTTGTTGATGACGATTCATCACTAACATCCGGACGAGAATCTTCATTGTCTGATTGTATCAAAAAATCAAGTGGATTAAACGAATTTTGTTCCTCAGGCTTTTGATTACGATTAGCAAGGAAGATTTTAATGTCATTCAACATGATTTCCTGCTCAATTACTCGTTTATGTAGCACTTCCAACAGCGTAATTACGTTACGAAAGTTAGACTTCATTAATTCCTCAGGTGTAGGCAAAGCTTCCATGTTTTTTCTGCGAAAAATCAGTTTCCGAATTTTAATTGTTCTAATCAGTCTGACGTTCAAGAATCAACTGACCTATTGTATAGAAAAATATATAGAATAACAGTTCCTTTGATGACGAAAATGACGGTTACAAAAAATTCAAATTGTATAACAACAACAACAACTTTTATAATTGGGTATGAATTTTATGTTTTTCGTCTTTTTCTCATTTTCTGTGCATTTAATTGAATACTTACCGCTATGTAGCTAGAGATAACACAGCTTTCGATGCTCAATATGTTACTTAAAATACTTAAATTAAGCTTTAAATTCCTAAAAACATTCAAATTTTGACAATAACAAAAAAATGCTCGTAACTTTGTGAAAAGTCTATTAAATCATATGAATTTTACACTCCTTTGTAATATTTCCAGTACTTTACAATATGGTTTATCGAAAACTAATAAAAAACCTGTTTAAACTGGTTAAATTAATGAATTTTTCAAATAAATATTTTTTAAAACCGTCAAAAGTTCAAATATTTTACTTCATTTGTTGACAATAATTTGAATTTTGAAAAACCGTTGAAGTTCAGACTTGTTTGAGATCTGCAGCATAAATCTCAGACGGTATGCAGCATAAATTGATTTTCAAGCAATTATGCTTCACCTTATAATCATCATGTTATTGTCAGATGTATGAATGTAATATTTGAAGAGGGTAACTCAATCATTTTCACTTAATAAACATCCCTTCTAGTGCCAAAGTCAGTGCATTGATAAGATGATAATTTTCATCAAAATTGCTACTGTTTCAAAAGAAAATGGCAAGTCAATTTAGATACACACATTTTTAGGGGCTGATATCTTATTTTCGTCTGTTTCTGACAGTTGTAAATGAAACAGAAAATTCATATTCCTTCATGTCAAGCATGCTCGATACATAAACATACATTCTAAATTTCTTCAAACAACTTTTTTTTATGGGAAATAAAAGGCTTTACATAAATTTTCTGCTCACAATTTCCTTCCTCGTTAATTAGATTTTTAAATTACAATCTTTTCCTCCTTCTTTTCATCAACGTTCTTTAATCTTTAACTTTTACGACATACGATTTTATGCAAAAAAAAGAACATAAATCACAGCATAAAAAATAATTTGTCACACAAGATGTGATTAAAGGAATTTTTCTTCAGATCTTGTGCCTGCATTTGATGCTTGTATGACTTAAACGCACTTATCTACTGTGAAGACAGCATAAAATTAAATTGAGCATAATTTAACGGTTTTTAATAAAATATTTTAATATCACAAACTACTCTCAATTCAGCTCCATTTTCAATAGCATTAAGAATATGAGAACAAATCCAGTCAAAGGTTTTTACATCAGCATAGTCTGCAATATCAGAAGCTAGATAGATTTAGATGGATTTAGATAAATCACAAAAAGGATGAAATCATGTTCATCAAAAAACTCATAAGATTAAAAAAGTGCGGCAAATTTAATTTAAAAAAATCCGTTTAAATTAAAATCGAGCAGCATAATTCCAAATAAATTGCCTAATATGTCAAGAAGATAAGCATAAGAATGACTTGACATTATAATTTCATTATATAACTATTTTTCAGACTCATTAAAGATCAAATCAGATTTTCCACATACAATATGTGTTTACACATCGATTATGCAGTCAGTAGCTAGTTGTATGTATATGTATCATGATGGCATTAAGTATAATATGATGACAAAATTAAATTTCGTTCCACAAATCAAATCACTAAGCAAGAATGTATGTTAAGACACACAGCACAGTGTAATAACAAGCGAGGGAGAAGTTCATTAGTGACGAGATTCCTTTTGTGCCATTTCTAACCCTCCGATTAAAGTCAGCCAACAGATTGATCAAGGGTAAAATCATTACGTAAACAGCAATAATAATAGAATAAAATTAAATTCATTGCATTTAACTTGAAAGAGGGGATATTAAGCATACAGCACATAAAGACTCGATTTTTGTTGCCTTTAAAAATTATTTTAAATCTGTTGACGATAATGCGATTTTAATTTTTCATGCCTAATTATGACGATTTGCATTCAAAACCAAGCTTCCGGCTATTCAGCATAAAGTCAGTCATTGTTTGTTGTCACCAATAAATTACGCGAATTTCCGATTCCTCATTCCCTCGTCTTCATAATAGCTTTACATCCTTCCTGTAGCCTGTGCTATGTACGATCCTCAAAATATATTTCCGACTCATTATGAGCATCTCCTCTTCACTTACAGCACTCAATCAAGGAATATTGAATATTTCAATACAGCATGCAACAATGGGAAACAGCAACATGACTTATGAAGCACGTGGCACACGAATATGATAGGAATAATGTGACTTCAACCGCAAACGCTTAAGCATGGATGTACGTTACATAAATCATAATTTTGTGTCTTCCTTTTTTTAGTTAAATATTTTTTTAAATGCGCATCACTTCCAATACTTTTTTTTGGGTATATCCATGCAATGTGAGCACGGGAATTTGTTATCAGCTATTGATGTAGGACATTCCTTAATTTTATAGTCCATATCACCTTAATCCATGTTTACACTGAACGGGAATTTCTTTTTTACCGGTTGTGAGTCAGTTCCACAGAACAAATGATAAGATAATGTTTAGGAACGCGTAATTACGATAAACAGATTACGGGAAAGCAAAATTATGTCTAGTTGTGCCTTAAAAGTGATAAAGATATGAAGGTTCCAACAGTGGATAAATTTTTATTTTATTTTCCTTTAGAAATCGGTGGATATGTCATTGGTGGGATATGCTTATTAATAAGCATCGCTATGATCACATTTCCATCGATTTACATCACCAACATTTTGATTGTGTACAATTCTTTCAACGAATCAGACCAAGATGCACTTAGAAATATCATAATCAGTAAGTTCTATGAATTTTGTTATCTACTGAATGTTTTAAGTTTGTGAAATTTTTAGTGATGCTCATATATTATGGATTGACTGTTTCGTACTTTATACTTCTACTTGCTGCTGGTGTGCTGGTTATTCTTGGGACATTCTTTGTATGTTCAATTTTTAAAAGTTTTAAACTAATCTAAACCTACTAAAAATAAGCATATCCTTGACTAATTATCAATTATTTCACAGCAAAAACACAAATTCTTGATCCTTCATCAAATCTTAACAGTCGTTCAAGTCATTTCATTCTTCCTGATGCTATTTCGATTTCCATTTATTGCTCTAATTCCCGTTTTATTGTTCACGGTTTTGGGAATATACTTTTTCATCAGCATACAGTCTCTCTACACATCATTAAAGAGTAAAATTCAACAACTGAATATTAGCAATGGACATCAAAATGGACATTAGACTTGAATACACCTGCTCGAATGTGTTGATATATAAAATATGAATGATATATCACCTATCAATGATTAAATGCCTGCCAGATCTATCCATCTCTCTTTTATTTTAAATTCCCGAGAAGAAAAGAAATTGAATAATTTCAAGATACACACATCATTAATCATAGACAGGCAAAAGTTTATGGACATCTGAAACAGTTTAAGAAATATGATGAAAAAATTAATCAATTATTGTTGCACAATTCTGAGAAGGATGTAAGGAATGTAATACTTAAGAAACTGAAGAATTTTATTGTTTATTTGAACTTTAGAATTTATAAGAAAATTAAGCATAAAGGAAAAAAAAACACAAAATTTATTTCTTGGCTCTTGGTTTAGTCGCTGGCTTTGATTTAGCTGCCGTACTTTTTGATGACCCTGCTTTTGTTTCCTTCTCCTGCTTTGTAGTGGCTTTTTTGACTTTAATCATGGAATTTTTTTCTAGCGACTCGTCTTCATCGTCCTCAGATTGTTGGACATTCTCATCATCTTCATCGCCGTACATTTCATCACTTCCACCTGAACCTTTCTTCTTTTTGACACCTGCTTGTGCTGAATAAGAATATGCTTGGACTTCCTTATTGTATGCTCGAGTAAGTGCTGCTTTTGTCTTGCTATCAATTTGTTCCCATGGATTTTTTGATAATCCCCAAGATGTTAATTCCAATAGTGATTCAATGTCTTCACGTAATAGACGATATTCCTTAATAACTTCCAATGCATCTTTGACTCCTTCTGAGCCTTTATCTTTTAATGGTCTAACAATAGCTTGAACTATAAATTGAGCATAATCTAAACGGACTGATGATCGAGATCCAGATGTAGCTGTTCTTGTATGGTCGTGAATTTCTTGAGCCATTCTCTTGCGCTTCTGTGCTTTTGAATTCTTTCCTAGCCAAGTTGGAAAAACTGGTGGTAAATTAAAATGTCCTTCCATTAATTCGCCTGGAATTACTGATGCAAACATTGCTTGTGTTGGAAGTAAAGACCATGCCATATTAGACCTGATTCTCTTATCAACTGTATCTCCAAGACTTATCGAGTCAGCTGTCTTAGCAATTCGATCCAAAATTTCAGAATCCTTACAATTTGGCTTAACATGCAAATAATTTTCCTGAACAAACAGCGGTGCTATATTGTAATCATAAAAGAATAAATCACTTTTATCATTCAACGACATCGTTTTGTGTTCTTCTGCTGAGAAGACTTTACGAATAACATCCCATGGACCCTGAGAATTAGAGATATTTATGGATTAAAAACTTATATTGAAATTAAATCCCGAGATTTAAAATAAATCTTGAGATTGAAAATTAAATCCAGCATTTAAAAATACAACTTACAATTTTAATGTCCTTCTCAGACATCTGAGCATTCTTTTTAGCTTTGTCAGCATTCAATTTCGTATCCTTTGATGCACTGTACATTGCTAAATGATTCAATGTCTGTCTAACATCATTTCCAGTTCCATTTATAATCGCATCCATAGCTCCTGCATCGAGCTTGATTCCTTCCTTAAAGCAAACACTCATCATGGCGCTTCGAATTTGATTGACTGACGGCTTATTGAATCTAAGATCAAAGCAATAATTTACTAGTGACCGCATTTTTGGATGTCCACGATCATTACACATACAGATTATTGGAATATGTGATTCCTTAATTAATGTAATTAATTCAGCAACTCCGCCACGATCTTCATTTCCAGCCATTCCATCAACTTCATCCATAATTAATACATGCCTTTTGGATACAGTCTTATCATCGCCAGTTAAATAACCTTTAAGTGACTTATTTGACAATAGTTGAGTTACTTCCTCTTTCAATAATCTCTTACTTCTTGTATCTGATGCATTAAATTCGACAACATCAAAAAGTAGTTCCTTGCAGACTAAATGAGCTGTTGTTGTTTTTCCAATTCCTGGTCCACCAGACAGTAAAGCAGCTCTAAAGGAACTGCCATCATTATCTCTAGAAAATGGATTTGATTTTTTATTTTTCTTTGTTGGATCTCCATGATTTCGATGCCAATGGAGTAGCCAATTCTGTAATTTGTTGGCATTACTTTGTGGCCCTTGCTGCCCAATAATCTGCTTGACACTCGTTGGCTTGTATTTATCTACAAAGGAATAAGATGGTGGTGCAGAAATTGGCCGTGGTACTGTTTTTGAAGGTGATTTGGGAATGACATCAGATTTCGTGGGTTTTACAGTACCTTCAGACGATTTATTCGAAGTTGTTGGCTGTGATGCTGACAATGACTTGCTCGATTCTGCTTTTACCTTAATTTCTTCTTTATCTTTACACCTTTTTTCTGGAGTTTTTGTCTTGATTCTTTTCTCTGGCGATTTGGGCTTGCTACTTATCTCAATCTTACTGTCTTTATCTTTCGAATCAGATTTTTGGTGCTTACTGCTTGACTCCATCTTCTGTTCTTTCTTCTCATGCTCAATTTTTGGTTCCTTACTTTTTGAATCACTTCCACGATCTTTAACTGCTAGTTCCTTCTTTTCATCGGTTTTAACAGTTTTTATAATCGGTTCTGGAGATTTTTCCTTCTTTCTATTTGTCTTGTGATTTTCCTTGCCTGGCGATTTGATTGTTTTTATTTCATGCAGCTTATTCTCAATTTGATCAACAATTGCCATTTCATCTTCATCAGCTATACTTATTACTGATGAATTTACATCCTCTTTTGGCGATGTCTTGACTTCCTTTTGTCTCTCTTTCCTCTTAATTGGACCACCGAATAGATCCTTAATGTTTTTAACTTCATTTGCCGGCTTTTCAGGTTTTGATTCCTTAATTTTCTTGGATGTTGATTTTTTGAGATTTAAATCACTTTCATCATCAGAATCGATTATTCTCCTCTTCTTCTTAATATTCTTATGCTCTGATTTTTCCTCGTCGATTTTGTTATGCTTATTTTTGGAGCTAGCTGGATCTTCATCATTTTTTCTCTTATTTGAGCTGTCAATCTTAAAAAATGATCTAATATCCTGAAATTGAAGTATATTTTAAGCTTAAACTATAACTTTTATTGATATTTGATTACTTACTCTCGACATTCTCTCGATAACTTTATATAAAGGCTTAAATAAATTAACTTTTATGGTAAACAACAGATTTTTTATTGGCGCTATTTTGCTTAGGATTGAGTCTTCAACATTGAATTCAAAAATATTTTTTCCGTTATGGATTTATGCTCATTTATTATGTTTTTATTTTTTAAACTTATTTATACACACAATTAAATACACATATATATAGAGACATGTAGACTCACGTTAATCGACAGGAATAATCATGTCAAATGGATACTTTAATAAATCGGCGACAGACGATCTTTCTTTAGGATTATAGACGAGACATTTCTTGAGCATCTCAGTATAAATTGGAGGATAGAAATTCGGAAGTGGTGGATATTCTATGACTGTTTTTGGATTCGTTAATGTCATCATCTTCTGATGAATTACTTTAATATGTGAAAATGGAGTTTTCTTATATAGTAATAAATAAAGAATGCATCCTAGTGACCAAACATCTGATTTTGTGGATAAACGAATTCTAGGCTGATGATGTGTTGATGGACTGTCTCCACTAGATGTGTCAATTAGTGCCTCTGGAGAAATATAATTAAAAGTGCCAGCTTGTGAGAATTTAATGATTGAAGTTGAATCAATTGCAATATTTGAAGCAATTCCAAAATCTATCAGTTTCAGACGACCGTTAATCATCAAGAAGTTTGCTGGCTTCAAGTCTGAATGAATGACACCATTTAAATGGATATAATGAACAGCCTGAAGCATCTGATACCAATAATTTGTTAAAGCATAAACTGGTATGTGCGTGGTATAACCTTGTAGAATCTTGTGTAAATCGGAATCACCCTTTTCCATGACCATATAAAGTATATTCTTTTCAGGTATGTGACAATAATCATATAATGCAACGACATTAATGTTGCCCTGCAACTTTGCCAATAATTTTGTTTCATTTAAATATCCTTCAACGACTGAAGGATCTCCGTCTAAATCAACGAGTTTTATAGCGCATTCCTTGCCAGATTTTCGTCCTTTTGCTAAAAATACAGAACTTGATCCTCCTGATCCTATTTTCTTATCAACCTCGTACTCGATTTTATTAATTATTACAATATTTTCACTTGGCTTCTCTTGTTCCTCAGATGGTTCCTTAATAGGCGATAATTTTCTATGTGATGCCTGCCTCGAATCAATTGGAGTCGCTAAATTAGAACCAGGAAAGGGACGTGCAACTGGTGTTGTGAATAAGATTTTTGGTCTTTTATGCTGATCACGTTCGCATGTTGAAATAGTTGAATTTTTGGCTGATGGAAGTGGACGAGTTGAAGGAGTTACGAAAATCTGTTGATCAGTTTTCTTATATGGAGTTTCATGTGAACTTGATTCAACATCCTTTTTTGATGTTAAAGGCAAACGAGGTGCTGGAACTTGAATTCTCACTGGCTCTTCTTCATTCTTTTGTTCCTCAATCTTACTGCTGGTGCTGCTTTGAAATACTAAAACTTTTGAAGATGATTGTGGCGGTTCGGATGGAAATAGTTGCGTACGGGATTTTCTTCGATTTGCTTTCGAATTCTCTTCTACTGCTACTGGATTAAACTTATTTATATCAGGCGATCGAACTTTAAGTGTAGATATTCTTGATATAAAGCCACTATCATCTGCTGACTTGCTGCATTGATTGATCACATTTCTATTATTCTCTTCCTGTCTTTTTGACTTTTTTGCTGAATCCTTACTTGTTGCAGGCGTTGACGGCATATCGAAATCTTTCGATGGACTGAGTACAAACGAATCATTCAGGATTGCACAATTCAGCCTATAATAAAGATCCAGCCGTTAATTTTTAAGAGTTTTATTTAATTATATGTTTTATCTTACTTGTCGTTCTTATCATCATCAGAATCGTATTCTTGGATACTAAAATCAGCAATTCGCTTTGGATACATGCCATAACTAATGGAATAACATAATTAATAAACTTTATTTTCTATTTATAAATTTTAAGGTGTTACTTTTTGCTGTATAATGCATTTTTGCCACTTTTCTCGGGTGTCTCAATGTCTGAATCCACGGACGCAAGTTCACTGATTCTTTTGGGTCTATGTGAAGCCATTTCTATAACGTTTGCACTTGATTTAAAAGCATTTAAATTAATTTAAGTAACTTTTATTTGTAAACAAACCGTTGATATTCAAAAACTTATTTAGCACTGAAATTCTGTGCTATGTACAAAAATTTGAATTTTGAAAAACCGGTAATTGACAAAGTCATCAGAAATTTAGTAAAATGCTTCTGTCAGAAATTACCTCCTTATTTAATGCATTTATGTATTTCTTATTGTATGTTTATGCTCTGTTTTGTTAATAGTTTCGGAATAAATTATTAAATACTGATCGCTGCGTCAAAAATGCTATGAAGTCACTCGATAAAAATCACTTTTTTTACTCTCCTAAGGTACACTAGTTTATGCATATCCAAATTGTATGATGATTATTATTAGCTTCCGCGTGGAATATGGAAGGTGTTTCTTTATGTCGGTCAAATTTTGTTCGTAATAAATAGATCCAATGGATTAACTAGTGAATCGGGTAGAAACCCAATGCGACCATATTCACACCGTACCATCAAAAGTCTTATGGGTAGACCAAGATTTGCTCAACATAAGTTTGAAGGTGTAAAGCTAGTGAGTCATCTGAGCTTCGCTCAGCATAAGTTTGAAGATATAAAGCTATCGAGTCAGGTGAGCTTCGCTCAGCATAAGTTTGAAGATATTAAGCTAGTGAGTCATCTGAGCTTTGCTCAGCATAAATTTGAAGGTATAAAGCTAGCGTGTCAGCTAAGCTTCGCTCAGCATAAGTTTGAAGGTTTAAAAAAAAAATTCATCCAAAGTTGAATTTTATAAAAAGCACAGTCAACTTTTGTTTTAAAAAATTTGTAAGAAAGGAAAGTTTTTTGCTATTTCTGAAGCAACGGCTGTTCCTACCTTACCCAAAAACAAAACAGCTCATCTATAGAGCAGCACGGATCAAATTTAAAAAACTAGAAGTCTCTACGATGTCTCGTTATTGAGATTTCTTGCTGATTAACTTGCATGCTTGTTTGTTTGTTTGCTTGCTTACAGAAAGCGTATTTTGCGATTTTCTAAGCAATGCCACAACCAATTTGAAATCTGTTTTTTGCAAATGATGTAAAAATTCGGACACAATTTTTCTTCTCGGACCTTTTATAGCCAATTTTGCTTCATTTTCACACAAAATGCGAAAAACCTATTTTTCAATCTGAACAAAACCAATTGATTCACACGTGAAAACGGTTTGAATATAATAATTAAATCCTCCTAATTTTCAAATCCATTTTTTTGTGTAATATCTTAAATTAAAGATAATGAAAAGTAGAATAATCGACCATAAAAAGATTTTCATTTTATTTGGTTTTGAGTGGGTGTAAGATTTATTATATTCAAACCTTGGTCTATCCATAAGACTTTTGATGGTACGGTATGAATATATCCACATTGGGTTTACCCGATACACTAATTTTCGTTTTGTGATATATAATATATATATATATATATCTAAGAACTGTAATCTAACATAAGTCAAATGCGGAAGCTAGTGACTTTCTACGTAAGTCGTGTTTTTGGCATTTGCTTTTAGCAGCTCAATAGCAATAAAGAATTTGATCAAGATTCTTAAATCAAAATTAAAGCCTTAAAAATTCTAAGAAAGTGATAATTGTTTCTTAAACATTTGTACACATATCATTATGAATTTAACATTTAGATTCCTTTGATGTTCCTGAATATAGAACCATGCAGCATGTAGGCATTGGAATCAAAAAACATGTGTCCTTTACAGATTTTTATAGCTTTGAGAAAATGTGGTAACAGTACCATATCAAATTCAAGCACCAAGCACGGTCTATTAATCCTTAATGTTAGAGACTGTTGAAGTCTGATATATAAGAAACTAATTGAGAAATTTCTTTCATAAAGGTGTGAATATATAAGCACGATCGGCTTCATTATTAGATTATGATTTATTTCAACAGTCAAAAAAGATTTGAAAATTTCAATTTCTTTAGAACACTAAGAAGAAAATAATCTGAAGAAATTGTAAATTTTTCGATTTTCCTCAAAATATCCACTTAATTAGCGTACAGAAAACAACTAAAACAATGGATTCGTTGGGTGAAGTCGGAAAGAAAATGCGGGTAAGTAGAAAGCACGCGAATGTTGTGAATTTCATGTAATTTATGTCAATAATCGATTTTCAAATTTTTTATACATACATTTTTCTTGAATGAAAACTTAGTCTGCAATTAAGGCCAAATTAGTAGAATTAGGCAATGCAAGCTCTACGGGATATATTGACGACGAACTACCCGATTATGTTATGATAATGGTAGCAAATAAACGTCCAAAACAGCAAATGTTGGTGGATTTGAACTTATTTCTGGGTTCCAACACAGGTAAATTTCACAGTCAATAGCCTCTTACCTACTTGCCGTATGTATACATTTTTATACAATTTTTAATGTTCCATAGAAACGTTTGTGAATTGGCTACATCAAGTTTTACAGAAGCTTCAAGAAGTTACATTGCCAACAAACTGTAAGTTAATCAAATTTCATTGATAATAATCTGATAATTAATGATTATGTCCATTAGTGGCAACAAAAGCAAAGAAGAAGATCAGTGAAACGTCAAGTAAAAAGGATAAGAAGAAAGATAAAAAGAAACATCCAAAAGAGCCATCAATAACTGATGTGATTGCAGTGGAACTAATGGAAAAGGCTAAAAAGACCATTGACCCAAAAGTCAAATGTGAGAAAAGCGAAAAATCAAGAACACCATCACCTCCGCCTACACAAGTTATTAATAATAGTAATTCAGATAAGCAGCCTCAAACAGTTTGTTCATCACAAGCATGGAACAGCAATAAAAGTGATGATGATCTTAATATCCCAAAACTTAGTGAAATAAGATTTAATAAAAGTAATGCTAGCAATCTATTGCACAAAGAACTTGGTGATCTTCAGAATACTGAGAAGAAAATACAGGAACTAAAGAAAAATCGACGGGCTATTTCAGGTCCAGAAGATACAAATAATAAATCGAAGGAAAAGGAATTGCCTGATGACGATGAAGAAATGCAGTTTGAAGCTTCTCCAGAAATTAATACAAGTCAAAAAGAAAGGGGAAGTGTAAAGTCGAGATTAGGTACAAAGCAAACAGAAGTCACTAATACTAATAATAGTAACAAATCGGGAAATATTATTAGTTTATCGGCAATACGACGATCAGAAACAGAATTTTTAAAGAAGATTGTCGTTAAGCAAAAAGAAGATAATGAAAGAAAAGTTGATGATTATAGATCAGTAAGGAACAACAGACATGACTCAAATTCATCTAGAAACTATAGTCGTCGAGAAAGACGTTCAAGATCTAATTCTCGTCATAGAAATAGAAGTGATCGAATTGATAGATTTAGAAGAAGGTCACGATCAAGAAGTCCAATAAAGTCGCATGAAAGTCGATCTCGTTTAAGTATTAGAGACAGAATTGGCGATAAGATTCAGCCCATTTCGTCAGCAGTAGTTAATAGAAAGCATAGCAAAACTCCTGAAGTTCCCGATGGAAATTTCAAAGTAAAATCAAGACCAACTTTAACGAGTTCAATTTCATCACATGCCGGAAAAAGTATGTTATTGAGAGCAATGGCAGATGCTCAACGTTCAACTCAAGTTCCATCAGATGCTAAGAAGAGACAACGCGACAATATAACAGTTCAAGTTAAAAATGAAAAAAGGAATCAATCTCATTTAAATGATGAGGAATATGTCCCTGAATCAATTTCAGGACATTCAGAATCAGAGGCTGAATATCATCCAACATTTGTCAAAAATCAAGATGGTGGTGAAGACGACGAGGATGTAATTTATTTAAATAATAATGATGACGTTGATTTAGACGATTTGGATGACAATAATGAAATGCCAAAAGCAAGTCCACAATTTATAGTTACATTAGATAATAAGGACTTGGGCACAATAACTCGAAAATCGAAATCTAAGTCTAAATCACACTCTCCAACGCCACCAAAGGTTATTAAAAGAACCAAAAGGACACCTGTAAAGGATAGAATTGGTGATCGAGTCAATAATAATCGTAATTCAGATGTTATTGCCAAGGAACACGAACATCGTTTACGAAAACGACAGCTTAAGGAAGTGGAAATGGAAGTTGAAGAAAGTGAAGCACAACGAGCTTACAATAAAGTCAAAAAGACTCGCGTATCACCAATAAAGTTCGATTTAACTGACGAAGAAGATGGTCGTAACTCTCGAAGCAGCTCTAGGGATCTTTCAGAAAAGAAAACTTCAATTTCCAAAAATGATTCAGACCTTAACGGAGAAGAGCACACAAAGCGCATCAGATTGGAAGCAAGTCGAAGCTTTGATCACGTTCCAGCATGTAAATTGACATTCTTTTTCAATCAACGCATTTAACTTAATCCGATTTTTTAATCCTTAGATTTATTTTTAATAAAATATTCATTTCTTATTTCAGTGCTCAGCTCGATAGCAGTTCCAGTTCCTGAAAGTTCAAAACCAGTTGTTGTGACAAAATCAAAAGATCGATGCAAATTCTATCCAAATTGCTCCAACACAAATTGCATTTATTTCCATCCCACACTGCCTTGCAAAGCGTTTCCCAATTGCAAGTTTGGTGAAAATTGTGCTTACACTCATCCAGCCTGCAAGTTTGATAGGTCTTGTCATCGCATAGACTGCAATTATACTCATTCAACACCAATTTTACCTGCGTCAACGCCAGTCATAGGTAAATAACTAGTCATGCCTTCATAATTCTCTGAAATAATCCTTAATCTATGCCTTTTAGCATCCTCGATTGTTCCAGTTCAGAATTACAAGTCAATTACACTAACGCCGACAATGCAAGTATGCAAATTTTTCCCAAGCTGTACGAACTCAAATTGCACTTATCAGCATCCAAAAGTCTGTAAATTTGGAAAAGCTTGTGCAAACAAGTTTGAATGCAATTTTTATCATTTCGAGACAGCAAGCAAAAGCAAGTTTAGATGGGTATCGTCTACATCATAAGAGATTGATTGAGGATTCTGGACTTAATAGAACTTTAGAGATTTTTAATATTGAATAAACTGTCCTTACTTTATGAAAGTAATTCTAAGAGCCGGTCAATATAGCATATAAGCATAAAAATTTATGTAAATAATCATAAAATGATTTTTAAGGGAATTGTCGTTGTATGACTTGTAATCTACATCACTCACAATTCTTTTGTGGCTTGATCAATTAAATTAATACAGTTTTTTTTTGAATTAACAAACTTTACTTCTGTATTTCTCTATTTTCTATGCCTTATTATTTCAGCTCAATTGAACAACTTTTTGGTTAAGTCCAGTCAAGTTCAAAATGATCTAATTTCTTCACTTTTTTCGGTTCACTGTATTTCTTGATTAAATGATAATTGTTAAATTCTACAATGGATTTAATTAAATTTACGTCTATCGTTGCGATTCTTGTGTTAATCTTCTAGTATATGCTCGGCTGATTAAATTGTATGAATCCATATATCTAAAGTTGAAGAAATTTCGTCAGACTTTGTGTAATTCTTTAACATAATAATGCTTAGAAGCAGTTAAATTTACCTGTCCATACACATAGCAATGCATTTCTGTTCGGAATTGTCTAATTCTTGGCCTGGCTTATTTACACATTTTTTGAAACATTTTTCAGTGATTTTACCAAGTAATTCCTGAGTGTTTGCTATCATCATTTGTTGTCTCACTTGACTCATAAGCTCATCCTTCTGAGTGCCTGATAAATTTGTTAAATCCATGCTTCCTTCCTGTTTAAATTAATTTATTAAACTTTTCTGAATTTTTTTGAATTCTTTTTATCAAGTTAAAGTTGTTGCTCCCCTGAAGACCTAATATTAGGACAAATTTGAATTAAAAAATGACGGTTAATAATTTTGTACGATTTTTATTTGAGGTAAGTCAAAACTGAATATCATGAATCTTTTAAAGATATTAAGTAAATGCACGTAAGACTGTCATCTGACAGAAAAGTAGAATAAAATTTTCGTTCGAGTCAAAATTTAAGGCATCATTCTTAATGCACCATCCAAACGAATAACTTCTCCGTTCAACATTGAGTTATTAACGATAGCTTCAACCAATTGAGCAAATTCTTCTGGATCTCCAAGGCTAAAACAAACATGAATATGATTAGCTATGCAATAGACAGCATAAATGTAAATTAGTCTAACCGTTGTGGGAAGGGAACAGTTTTGGCTAAAAAGGCACGAACTTTATCTGGTAAAGCCTGTAACATTGGTGTATCAAACATGCCTGGTGCGATTGTGCAAACTCTAATTCCCTAATATGTTGCATTCATGTGACAATTATTAGTAAGCATGATCAAATAGAAAATATGTTATAAAAAAAATTAAGTACCTGAGTCGATAAATCTCTTGCAATTGGCAAAGTCATTCCAACGACAGCAGCTTTTGAAGCAGCATATGCAGCCTGACCAATTTGACCATCATAAGCAGCTACAGATGCAGTGTTAATGATCACTCCACGCTGTCCATCTTTATCACCTTCATTTTGCCCCATTAAGCCAGCAGCTAAACGAGTCACATTAAACGTACCAATAGTATTGACCTGAATGACTTTGCTAAATGCCTCTAAACTATGTGCGGTCTTCTTATTGAAGTTATATGTCTTAATAGCAACCTGTTAGACGCAATCGGTATTTACATTATTCATTGTCGTTTATTTTGGTGATCTTTTGTGACTGTATGAGTGAATAAATTAATCCAATAAAACTTACGGCAATTCCTGCGCAGTTTACAGCCACATCAAGGCGACCGAATTTACTTTTAGCAACATTAAGTGCTTCATTAACATCTTGTTCGGATGTGACATCCATTGGTACGAACACTGTATCATTTCCAATATCCTTAGCCAATTGATCGCCTGGAGATGTTTTTAAATCACCAATAACAACTTTAGTACCGGATCTAACAAAACGTTCAACCACAGCACGTCCCAATCCACTTCCTCCACCGGTTACAAGTGCAACAGAATTCTATATAAAGTATAAAAGTTATTAGATAATCAATTTTAATGGACATTAAGAAGAAAGCTACCTTAAACATCTTTACTTTTCAAAATATATGTGATGCTATTATCTTGGAGTCAAAAACAAACTGATTATGTATGTGACGAGTCAGTCTGTACGCGTGATATAAGAAGATCTATCTTCGTGCTGTCGAATAGTCGAAAAGTTATAAAGTATCTTTTGAAGGAAGTGACATTTTGTATAGAGCGCATTTTTGTGGCTGATCCTATGAATTTTTTAAGCAGTTTTGGAGTAGTAATACATGTTTATTTACTAAATATTATACTGGGGGTCCTCGATTTGAGTAGATTCTATTTGAGTAGATTCGATTTGAACAGAAAATTTATTACCCACCAAAATATTCGATTTGAGTAGATTTTTTCCTGTTTTCTTCGATTTGAATTGTTTACAAAACAAATATTTTTGATAAAAACATTTCAGAAAATAATTTTAAAATATAAATTTTACTGCGATAAGCGTGAACTTATCATATTGATAGAAAAATCAATACTAAAGTTACAAAATTAAAGTAAAAATTTAAAAAATCGATATAAAATCAACGATTTTAAAAAGTTCAAATTCAAAAACCTTACAAATTGTTCAGTGAAATAACATTTGCAAGGTTCTCATATTTTTGTTTTGTTTCAAAAACATATTTTTTGTGAATTTCCGTTTAAAAACAATATGAATATGCGTTGAAATAAATTAATTTATCTAAAACACAAAGGAAAAGTTAAGAAACGAGGTAAAATGTGCAAAAAATGATCAAGATTTTCATTGTTTTGATTCATTTTTTGGACTCTGGAACAAAACATGTAATTTTTTATGGATTCTTAGCCTCGATTTGAATAGATTCGATTTGAGTAGAAATTTTTTGGAACAAAACAACTACTCAAATCGAGGACCCCCAGTATTAATTTCCATAGCTCAACTATTCAAGCATAAATTCAATATTTCTAGACAAAATTTTTGGTAATTTTTCAATGGATTACTATTGTTTGTTTACAAATATTTTTTGAAATTTTCATTGTGCGAGTTTTTAGTGAATTGAGCTAGTTTTAATTAATTAAATACACTTTTAAATATGAGGGAGGATAAAAACTTATTATTTAATTACAGTGAGTATCAAGAAATGTCTTTAAACTTCGAAAAAGATATCAAAAATTCCAAAAATCAAAAATGTGCTAAAATATTTGGATCAAAACATCCAAAGTGCTGAATATTCAGCATATAGCATTGTGTGATGTGCTAATCTTTTTTCGAAAACGTAATCTCAAATAGGAATAATTTTTTACTTATTCTTTGCTCTTTTAAAAATATGGACGAGGCAAAAAAACCTTTTTTAATTGGTAAGTACAGTTAATAGCATTAAATTAAGTGAATTAAGGTACGAATTAATAAGATATAATTGAAATGTATCAAGAAATTTATCGATTTAAAATATTGAACAAATATGTCTCTAAAACGTCGCATTAGATTCTTATTATTCAACATATTTTTTGTTTGTTTTGGGATAACATTAATTAATCAATAAAAATAAACTGCATTAATAGGAGTCGCAGGAGGTACAGCTTCTGGAAAATCGACTGTCTGTAAGAGAATTATTGAAAAGCTAGGACAGGCAGATATTAATGAACGACAAAGACAGGTAAATTAAAGAAAAAGAATAATTTCATTTTTGGCTATTTTAAGCACATTGTAAACTTCTATTTTAGGTTGTTTCTATTAGTCAGGATAGCTTCTATCGTGAACTATCGGATGCTGAGAAAGTTAAAGCGCAAAATGGCAAGTTTAACTTCGATCATCCACAAGCATTTGATGAAAAACTAATGTACAGCACAATGCAGGACATATTGCAAGGAAAAAAAGTTACAATCAATTCCTACAATTATCGTACAAACTCATTGTCTCCAGAAGATCAAATTACAATATATCCAGCTGACGTTGTTATATTTGAAGGAATTTTAGTATTTTACTTCCCAGAAATTAGAGATCTCTTCCATATGAAGCTATTTGTTGATACAGACAGTGATACTAGATTAGCTCGTCGCGTTCCAAGGGATATTAAGGAACGTGGAAGAGATTTAGATCAAGTATTGAATCAATACATGATGTTTGTGAAGCCAGCGTTTGAGGAATTTTGCTCACCCACAAAGAAATATGCTGATGTAAGGAACAAACATGATACTTTATTATTATTACTCTTTATAGCCTTACTCAAATTCTCATATCAAATTTTTAAAATATTCACACCCTAATCACGTATGAATGTATTGTTTTTGCTCAGATTGAAAAATCAGTTTTTTGAATTTTGTGAGGAAATGGAGCAAGATAGCTGAAAATGTCCAAAGATGAAAAGTTTGTGTCTAAAATTTCATCTTCTGCAAAAAAAACATAAAATTTGTTTCGGGAATTGCCTTTGCATTTCAGTTGCAAACTAAATCTCAACGTGAACAGACGTGTTTACAAATCGCTCTGCAAGTTATTCAAAAAATCTCATAAGAAACAAAACAGAGATTACCTGAGAAGCTTTTTGTTTGCAAAAAGTTTGAAAATCTCAGCTCGATTCTCAAAACATCAAAATGGTAGAATCACCAACAACGAAGAAAATCTTTCTCAAAATCAGCATGGACTTAATAGTTCTCAACAACAACAATCATCTTCAGTGACAATTCTCAATATTGAGGCAGAAAAACGCCCTCGAGAAGTGATAGTAGGTCATTTTTAAAATACCTCTGGTAATAAATTATATTATTATTATTATTATTATAGTTCCCAGCGCTCCTTTAAAAAGAGTAGCAAACCAAAAGATGGGAACAAACCACTGTTCGAACTCCCACCAATGAAGAAAGCTTTGTCTTCTGGAATACCGTATCTATTTGGTTCACCAGAACAGGAGACAAAAAAATCGACAGCTCCATCGTACTGGGGAGAAAACAGCAAAACGTCAGAGCAACAAAAGACAATACACGGAAAGCAACAACAACAAATTTCAACAAAAATCAAAACCACCTCCAATTGTCATCAGCACAGTGGAGCTGGTGAAATCAAGAGATTGACGAATGAAATAAACAATCAACCTGGAAGTTTCTTAATTGAGACCAAAAAGGGCAAACAAGGAACAAAAACGGTAACAACGGAGAGTTGGGATGACTACGAGAAATTCATCCAACTACTCAAAGACAAAAAGCATCACTTCCACACATACTCCAGCCAAAAATTACTGAAAAGGTACGTACTCTATGGACTCCCAGATATGGAAATCAGTGAGTTGGAGAAGGTACTTCAAACCTTAAAAATCACACCAGTAAAAATTATCAAAATGACAATGAAACACAAAAGACACGAACAAGACGATGACCAGAACTACCTCGTGTACTTCAAAAAAGATGTAGAACAAAGTGGAAATTTCCTGGAATTCCTCAGAAAAATCAAAATTGTCAGCAGTTTCAAAATTAAATGGGCTGACTACAAAAATAGACAAGCTGGACCATCTCAATGTTCGAAATGTCTGTAGTTTGGTCATAGACAAAACGGTTGTAACAAACCGTCCGTTTGCTTCAGATGTTCTGAGCAACATGACAACTCTGAAGTTTACTTTCACAATAAGGCAACAAAGCCAAAATAACTTTCTTTTTCTTGGATAATAGTTACATTAATACACAAAAAATGCATAGAAATAATAATTATGAAATCAAACCATCTGTAAAGCATCACAATAGCCTCCAGAGAGTAATTCAATCAAAAGGCCATATTAATTGTCTATACCTAAACGCTCAGTCGCTGTGAAATTCACTGAATGACTTAGGGGCCATTCACTTATTACGTAACGCTTTTAGGGAGAGGGGGGTCTAAGATTTTGTTACGGTTCAAACAAGGAAATTTTTTTTTCATACAAATTTTGTTACGAGGGGGGGGGGGTCTAAGAAGTCATTTTTTCGCGTTACGTAATAAGTGAACAGCTCCTTACAATATATTATAACTAGTTTAAATTTTAAAATACATATCGTACTTGTCGTCGAAACGTGGATTAAACCGGTAGAAGTGAAATTTTTCAACCTTCTTAACTATCACTCTCTACATACCACCAGACCTAACTCGATAGGTGGAGGTGCCTCTATTTTTATTCTTAATGAATTCGATACAGGAAACATGGTATATGAAGAGTCCATTAATAATAATAATTTCTTAATAATTTCATTGCTCAAAACAAATATCCACTTAGGCCTTTGTTATCGGCAACCAAATAATTCGCTTGATCAAAATGGAAAACTCTAATTAAGCAAACTCGACGTCGTTCTAAATACATACATCAAAATATATTTCTTCGGTGACTTTAACATTAATTTATTTGATGAAACCTCCCCTCTTGTATGCGGCTACAAAGAAATTGTAAAGTCTAATAGTCTCGAATTTCTAAACTCGTTTTCACTTGAATATCCAACTCGCATTAACTATAGATTCAACTCAAACTCTTGCATAAATTACATTTTTACCGATTTTCATTTTTATGAAGACAGTTTAGCACATGAAATGTTCTTATTCGATAACATAGGCGATCACAAAAATATCATTTTGAATATTCCAATTAATTCTAAAAGAAACGATAGTAAAATCCCATATCACATAAAACGGGTCAATAACTTCAAAATCTTAAATAGTAAATTAATTGAGAACTTAAACTGTGAAACATTCGAAGAATTGACCTCAGAATTAGCTAACATTATTTCAGATAACACAACAACATGTAAAACTCATTTAGTATGCAGCAAACCATTCGTTGATACGACAACCAGAAATTTTATCGAATTAAGAAATAAGTTTGTTACATTAAAAGCAAAATACCCACATAGTATGGAAATTAACAGAGAGCGAAGCCGATTTTTTCGGCTTAACTCAATTTTTGATTATTTTGATAGAAAAAAGCCATTTAACACCCATTTTAAGTATTTAAATTGAACTTTACATGCTTTACTATGATTCTGTGTAATATTTTTTCAGCATGTAGCTATAGTAAACTCTAAATTTCAATTTAGCCGATTTTAAGCCGATCGGCTTAAATTTCGGCTTAACATTCTTTAACTTGAAATTCTGAGCTTCCTTTAGCTACATGCTGAAAAAATATTTCACAGAATCATAGTAAAGCATGTAAAGTTCAATTTAAATACTTAAAATGGGTGTTAAATGGCTTTTTTCTATCAAAAAAATCAAAAATTGAGTTAAGCCGAAAAAATCGGCTTCGATCTCTGGAAATTAAAGAACGATTTCGGTTTTATAGAAATTTAGTCAATCGGTTGATTAAAAAAGCTAAGAAATCTTTTTATAATAAAAATTCACTCATTGCCTTAATGATCCTAGAAAAACATGGCAAAACATTAATGAAATTTTGTTTAATAAAGTAAATTCACGTAAATCAACTTGCACATTGCTGTCAGAAAATGGTATATCTGTTTCTAATCCCAATTCAATTGCTGATTATCTTAATATCTTCTTCATTAATATATCATTACTCAACACGTTCAATAATAACACATCTCCAATGCTCGCTGATCTGAACATTTCATACCAAATTAAATAAAATTTTACATGTCCATCCGTTACTGAAGATGAAGTCACTATGGTAATTCAAAATCTTAAATCATCCAATGCGACTGATGTCTATGGAATGTCAAATAATTTCATTAAAATTCATTCGAAAGCGCTTGTTAACGTTATTACAAAACTTATAAATGTCAATCTCTTTGCTGGTAACTTTCCAGTTGCTCTGAAAATCGGAATTGTAACCCCAATATTCAAAAGCGGTGATAGGAAAAATAAAAATAATTGTAGACCGATAACGAAACCCAATATTAGAGAAAGTCTTTGAATACATAATTCAACACCGTCTGCAAGATCATCTCGACTCAAATAATGTAATTCACAGTAATCAATTCGGCTTTGTCAAAAAATCAAACACAGAAATTGCCACAATCCACATATTAAATGATATCTACATTAACATTGACAATCAAAAAGCCGTATCATTAACGTGCATAGATCTATCAAAAGCATTTGATTCCATTCGACACGATATTCTTATTAGTAAACTTAAAACACTTCAGCTCGATAATTTTTTCCATAATTTGATGGTTTCATATCTTGAAAATCGGAAACAGGCGGTCAAAATCTCTGACATTATTAGTTCATTCAAATCCATCAAATCAGGAACGCCTCGGTGGGATACTGTCGAACCCATTCTTTAATCTGTATATTAACGATACCTTTAATCTTGATCTATCTGGAAAGCTTTCTTTATATTGTGATGACATTACACTCATTAATGTTGGTAATGATCCAATGGAATTAAAAAACAACATAGAACATGACTTACGGAAGATAGAAGAATGGTTAATGTTAAATAGATTAGTACCAAACGCGAATAAAACTAAGTACATTTTATTTCATAATAAAAAGAAATTCGAGAACTTTACAGGCGCATCATTAAATATTCGATTCTCTGGGAAAACAATCGAACGAGTTGAGAACGTTAAAGTTCTAGGACTTATTATCGACGAAACTCTTTCATTCAAACCACACATTCAATCAATTAAAGATCAAGTCATATCATTTTCGTATGCTACGAAAAGAATAAGACTTTTGATTTCGGATAAAACGGCAATCGACTTATATTACGCGCATGTACAATCTCGCCTCATATATATGAGCTCGATATGGTCTTCTGCTGCTAATTACAATATAAATTCCCTCGAATATTACTAAACAAGAGTTAGTACTGCAGTAAATCAGAACTATACAGCATACGAATACTGCCATTGTCGACATTATATCAAGTGAATATATGCATTCAGATCATTAAAATTATCAGCAATATGCTAGTGAATAATATAATAATTCAAACTGCTGATCAAAGACATAGTCATCATACAAGAGCAAGAAAAAAAATTCATTGTTCCAATGTCTCGCACACAGCTAGGAAGTCAAAACTTTATATAATAGGTCTGGCATTGTATAATTCGCTTGATCAGAGAATCCGAAATACTTTTTCGTTTAGCCTTTTTAAATCTCGAATAAAAGAATACTTCTATGAAAGCTACAGTGATGCAATTAGGTAAATTAAAATTAAGTTTAATATGAATACAGCACTTGGTCACCAATTTTGATTAATATA